CATTTCAGTGGGCTTAAATAGACCACCCTTTACAGCAGATTTAGTAGAAACATTTGTAAAATCTGAGTGTTACTTGTGTGAAAAATGGCTCATCTTATCCCACTCTCCCTATAGGAGCAGAGGAGAAGCAAACTGTGAAGGCCCGGCTCCTATCTTCACAGATGCTTCTAGTGGATGCCCTCTATCACCTGGGCCCTCTGCTAGACAGTGTTATATCTGTAGGGCTGTTCTCTAGAGAAAACTGTTATGAAATTGAAGCTGAGCGAACGCCGCCCAACAAAGTCCGAAAACTTCTAGAAATTGTTGACGCACAGATGGATGAAAGTGGTGCCTCTAGTTTCATGGAGTGTCTGAAGAAATGCAAGAAACATTACCCGCGTCTACAAACCTGGTTGACCTCAGAAGAAGGTATGCGATGACTGAAGTTGCATTCTGTCTTAAAACATAAATGCAGTAGCATAACGTAAATACTAAAATGTTTTGCGCTCTCATATTAGATCACTCCCAACCACCAGGCATTAAGCAAGGTCCAACAGGTAGGACACAGAATTTTCACTTTTACTTAATATATATGTAATGTCTCCCATTCCTCATCATTGTCCTGTCTCCATGCAGAACGTCAGCTACAGGCCCAGTTTAATGTTCTGTGCTCACGCTTGGGCTGTTCTGTTCTGCCGGTCTCCTACGATCTCTTCTCCAGCGGCATTCTGACTCAGTTGGAACTGGAGAAAATCCAAGCAATACCCATCCCAACCCAGCAAGCACAAACTCTGCTGTCCATCTGCCTGAAGAAAGGAGAAAAAGTGTGCATGAGCTTTTACACAGCGCTACAGAATGAAGACGAGCAACTAGCTGAGGAACTTAATGGTCAGTACAACTTTTCTAGCAGAATCTAGAGTGGTGATGCATGCAATATTATATTCTAAATGCATGTAATATTGTAATGTGCACTACTGGTCAAATGCTTGGAATAATTAATATTTTTAAATGGTTATGAAAGAAGTCTCTTTTGCTCATCAAGACTGCATTTATTTGATAGAAAACATAATAGTATTATAAAAACAATAATATGATGATATATTATTACAATTTCAAGTAACTGTTTTCCATTTCAATATATTTTAAAATGTAATTTATTCCTGGGATGATCAGCATCATTACTCCAGTCTTCAATGTGACATGATCCTTCAGAAATCATTTAAATATCATTTGAAAGTTCAATGAACAGTAATTATTAGAAATAGAAAATGTGTAACATTAAAAATGTCTTTACTGTCACTTTGATTAATTTAATGCCTCTTTGCTGAATAGAAGTATACATTTTTCTTTCTTTTTTTTTTACCTCAAACTTTTTTATGGTAGTGTATCCAGTTTCCGCAAAAAATATTACCTCAGAAAAGTAATAAACATCAGTTAGAACTCTTAATATTGTTTCAGCCAGGAATTCAGCCACCTGTTATCAAATTTTCTTTACACTCTTCTCATTTTTCAGTAAACAGTTTGGTGGAAGACCTTGATAAAGAACCAGAAGGCAGCATTGTGCCGATAGCAGTGGAGGAAACTAGAGATCACTTGAGAGCAGCTTTACCTCTGTCAGGTAGTTCACATTTCAACATTATACTCATTTTGTTGAAAACTATGAGAGACTGAAGAAATATTTATGGCTGGTAAATTTGCTCAAAGCTAAAAAAAATAATTTTGGTCAACTGATGTTGTCCATGTCTGATTCTCCATCAGGAGGCCTGCAGCAGGTCATGACTCAGCTGGGCTTGACTGTGGGGGATGAGATTAGGTTTAATGTCTGTGAGGTTGGTGTGGCGGTGGGTTTGCCACGTCGGACGGTCAGAGAGTACCTTCTGGAAGGGGTCGGCATTGAAGACGCCGCCCAGCTGGAAGCCCTAGTGTCCCTGTATATAGAGAAGGCACAGGACGCCGACAGACTACTGAGCAGAGTGGCAGAACTCAGCCCTCGGTGTAAGTGAAGGCCAATCCATCTCAGGCTTAACCTCAGATTCTGTTTAATAAG